TTCTGTTTCCTCTTCATGCCTCTTAATCATGTCCAGTTCACAGGAGTACTTCATGCCCTGTTTTATCTGTGTCTCAACAAAAATCCATTATCCAATATTCAGCTTTCTTTTTCCCCCTCTTTCTCCCTTACTTCTATTTTCCCTTCTTTTCTTCCTGCCTTCTTTTTTCTCTATAAATTTATATTCTTCAGGAACATATGTCTCTCTAAGAAGATATGTGTGTGTGTGTGTGCGCGCACACAATAGATGGTCGAAAATAATGAGTTTCTTTAAATCACTGTAAACACCTTTTTCCTATACTTACAAATAAACACTTTTTAAAAATCTACCATTAAAAAAACCAAGGGGAAAAAAAGGTTCATTCTGACATCAGAACACAGACGGCACATTTCATTAAAATTTTCCATTTGCTACTGTTATGATTCACAAAATATAAGTGAATTCGTCAGAAGTAGGGATGTTGTGTGAAAATAATTGGCATTGACTTTGATATTCAAGGCAGGGTAACATCAGCAGCGAATCACCGTTGCATCCTGAGCTGTCCCACGGCTCCAGCAGGCGCCGTGGCTGAGCGCACTCGCTGTCACAGCAAGGCCCGCGCAGGCAGGGCTGGCACCGCTCGCATTGACGCTGACCTCACGGCGCGGGCCAGCCGGGCCTTTCCCGCCCTGGCACCGGTACCCCAGGGGAAACATTTCCAGATCCATTTCCTCTCTGCACACGGCTCCATTCCCACAAGGATTACTAGCCTCACAAGGCCCATATTCACAGTGAGGACCTAAAAGGAAAGAATAAGGTTCAGTGCTTATATAAGAAACAAATCCTGCTGGCAAGGCCCTGGCGTATTTCTGCATAAATGCATTAACCTCAGGCTCTGGGCAAGACTCACAATTCTCTTCCATACTATCAGTGTGATTCTCTCTCTCTCTCTCTACATTATGATTTAAGAAAGAAATATTATTTATGATTCCCATGCTTCATCTAACAAAGAACTAGCAGGCAGCAATGTTAAGGGACAGTATTCTTTGAAATACCATCTTTGGCTTTTTACACTTTCAATTCTTTTCAGCGATATTCTCTGCAGACACGGCGTTTAAGTGAGTGCATTGGTAATGGTTCGATGCCCCCTGCGCTTTCTCCCTGGCACCCTGGAAGCTGCTGTCACTATAAGCTTCCCTTCACAGGCTTGTTGTTAGTCTCAAAACAAGTAAACAATGGAAAAGGAAAATTTTAATAAGGCTTTAATTTTAAGAATAACACCTTAGGTCTGAAACTAAGTCTTAATTTTTACTCATAAAATGTAACTAGATAAAGTGGTTGTCGTTGGGTAAAATGCACACACATACTTGGACACAAGAAAAATAGAGCTTGACACAAGGGAACCCATATCAAAAAAGTGAAGCGGAAACAACGTAAAATTGCTAATCGAAACAAAGTCATTATTCAGGCATCAGTGTTCCAGGGATGGTAAAAATATTTGGATAGCAGTTATTTGGAAAGTATTTAAGTAATAGCATTCATTCACCAAAATGTATAGACTATGTGCACAAACATAGGTTCTAAAAGTACCTGGCTGAACACCTCAGAGAAAAAATGTCCAGGAATCAAGTTCCTTAACAGCTCAGGTTTTCCCAGTAGTTTTACAACTGTAGGAAGGAGGGGATAATAAAAGAACTGAGATACGGGATAAAGTTTTCAAAGTTTAGAAGTACAGTGGCAGTTGGAGAAATTCTAAAACCTCAGGATCCCTATGGTTCT